GGAGTCCAGGAAGGCTCGACATATTTCAAGAGAGAAGCCTTAAAGGCACAGGAGCAGGCTGTTCCCTTGCGCCAAAAAACAAGCAGACAGGGAAGGAGACTGGCCTGGCTAAACAGGGACCTTTGGCTGGATCTCAAGAATAAAAGGAGAATCTATTGCCTTTGGAAGAGGGGGCAGGTGTCTCATGAAGACTATAAAGATGTAGCGAAGTTATGCAGGGAGAACATTAGGAGGGCCAAAACATAGCAAGAGCTCAACTTGGTTACAGCTAAGGATAATAAAAAATGTTTCTATAAATTCATTAACAGCAAAAAGAGGATTAGGGAAAATCTCCCTCCTTTACTGGATGCAGAGGGAAACATGGTAACTAAGGCTGAGGAAAAGGCTGAGGTGCTCAATGCCTGCTTTGCCTCAGTCTTTAGCGGTGGAACTGGCTGTTCCCTGGACACCCAGCTTCAGGAGCTGGGAGATGGGGAGGGGAAGCAGATTGAGGTCAGCACAGTTGAAGAGGAGATGGTCAGAGACCTGCTACACCATTTGGATGCACAATAGTCTGTGGGACCAGCTGGGTTACACCCAAGGGTGCTGAGGGAGTTGGCAGATGTACTCGCCAAGCCTCTGTCCATGATTTACCTGAAGTCATGGCTAACTGGGGAGGTCCCATTGGACTGGAGGGTGGCAAATGTGAAACCCATCTGCAAGAGAGGCAGAAAGGAGGATCCAGGAAACTATAGACCTGTCAGTCTGACCTCGGTGCCAGGGAAGCTCATGGAGCAGGTCATCTCGGGTGCCATTACAAGTCATATAATGGACAACCAGATGCTCAGGCCCAGTCAGCATGGGTTTATTAAAGGCAGGTCCTGCCTGACAAACCTGATCTCCTTCTACAACAAGGCGACCTGCTTATTGGATGAGGAAAAGGCTGTGGATGTTGTTTACCTTGACTTTACCAAGGCCTTTGACACCATTTCCCACAGCATTCTCCTGGCAAAAAATGGCTGCTTGAGGTTTCGACAATTGCACACTTTGCTGGGTAAAAAACTGACTGGACGAATGGGCCCAGAGAGTTGTGGTGAATGGAGTTAAATCCAGTTGGCGGCTGGTCACGAGTGGTGTCCCCCAGGGCTCTGTTTTGGGGCCACTCCTGTTTAACATCTTTATTGATGATCTAGACGAGGGGATCGAGTGCACCCTCAGTCAGTTTGCAGATGACCCCAAGTTGGGTGGGAGTGTTGATCTGCTCGAGGGTAGGGAGGCTCTGCAGAGAGACCTGGACAGGCTGGAGCCATGGGCTGAGGCCAACTGGAGGAGTTTCACTAAGGCCAAATGCCGGGGGCTGCCCTTGGGCCACAACAACCCCCAGCAGCGCTACAGGCCTGGGGAGGAGTGGCTGGAGAGCTGCCAGTCAGAGAGGGACCTGGGGTGTTGATTGACAGCCAGCTGAACAGGAGCCAGCAGTGTGCCCAGGGGGCCAAGAAGGCCAATGGCATCCTGGCTTGTGTCAGCAATAGCGTGGCCAGCAGGGACAGGGAAGGGATCTGACCCCTGGACTCGGCACTGGTGAGGCCGCCCCTCGATTCCTGTGTTCAGTTTTGGGCCCCTCACTACAAAAAGGACATTGAATGACTCGAGCGTGTCCAGAGAAGGGCAACGAAGCTGGTGCAGGGTCTGGAGCACAGGTCGTACGGGGAGCGGCTGAGGGAACTGGGGGTGTTTAGTCTGGAGAAGAGGAGGCTGCGGGGAGACCTCATCGCCCTCTACAGCTCCCTGAAAGGAGGTTGCAGACAGCTGGGGATGAGTCTCTTTAACCAAGTAACAAGCGATAGGACAAGAGGTAATGGCCTCAAGTTGCACCAGGTAAAGTTTAGACTAGATATTAGGAAGCATTTATTTCCATAACTGGTTGCTGGGCATTGGAATGAGCTGCTCGGGGAGGTGGTAGAGTCCCCATCCCTGGAGGTGTTTAAGAGTCGGGTTGACTTAGTGCTGAGGGATCTGGTGTATTTGGGAACTGTCAGTGCTAGGTTAATGGTTGGACTGGATGATCTTCAAGGTCTTTTCCAACCTAAACAATTCTATGATTCTGTGAATTCTCAAACACTCCCATACTAAAATCTGTCTCTTTTCAGAATTACTCAGTTGGTTAGCACACTTGTTAAAATTAAAATCTAACTGTAAATATTTTAACTGTAAATATTTTAAGGGATATATCACTACTATTCTTCCATGAAGGATAAACAATGCACAGTTAGATCCAGATGAATGAATCAAGATAAATGGAAAACAAAAGGATTATTGGAGGGGTGGAGCCATTTCATTTGCTCTTGTAACTTATTATATACTTGTCTGAGATCTCTCTTGCCAAACTTCATCAATATGAAAAGTATGAAAAAAAAATAATTATAAAAGGAATGAAGTTTAATAAAATGTATGGCTCATTACCTATTGTAAACAGGCATTGATCCTGAAGCCACTTCTGTCTGACCTGATAAACAAATCCCCTAGAAACAAATCTACAAGAAAAACTAGTTCCTTATACCAGCATTCAGTAAGGAGGCTTTAAAAGAAAAAACACTATTGCTAAGCCTAGTATCAGTTAATCGAGCACTTGTTGAAAATTTTACTTAATTGCATATGAAAAGGATGTGATAACCTGGAAGTTGGTAAACCTTCACCTGGGTACCTTGGTGAGTTTATTGACATACACTAATTTTTGTGCTTGTTTGTGGCATATTTCTGCCCTTTTTTTAACAATTTATCTTCTTTACAAGTATTTTGCTGCTGATTCTCCTCATAAAAGTAACTCTACGCATAAAAGTACTCATCAACACACTCATAAGTATCAATTTATTTTTAAAAAAAAAGCACTTAGTATACTGAAATTTTTTAAAAATAATATTTTCAATATAAGATTTCCATGAAAATATATCTTTAAACTTTCTGCTTCTGCAACAGAACACTATTCACATGCATATCTGGAAGCTCCATGCTTAGCTGCAAAATTCTGCATGAAGAAGAGGTGATTATTAAAATAAATAAATAAATAAGCACAGAGAATGCCTGGCCAAAAAATGATGAGTCAGATGTGATTGCACTTCACAAAATTAAAGACTTGAAAGATTAAAAAGCCGTTACAGCAAATCTCAGAGAACTGGTATGCAATCACATCTTTGCTCAGAAGAGGAAAATAGTAATAATTTGTCATTATTGTCATTCATGATATATCCTGAAAATGATTTTTACTGCTTGTCCACTTTAATAAGCATATCTGTTAATTAGCCCATATGCATTAAAGGGGAATGAATAGACATTAATATATTTGTAGCTATTAACCAGAGTTGTAAAAAAACCATTTCCATCATAAAGACATTTTTTCTTCCTGTAAACATCTGAATCATTGTCTTCTAATGGCTGAAGAGTTTGTAAAAAGCAATACTTTGAGCTATCAAACTTGATGAAATAAATTGTTTCTAATCACTTTATAAATCAATCTGATAGGATTATATAATTAGACAAAAATCATATTCAATGTGTGATATTCAACAGCTCAATAAAAAAGTCAACATATGTTTAAATAAACTCATTCGAATAAATAAAAGTGCCCCAAAGAAGCCAGTCATGAACAGATTTAAGATTTATCTTAGCAAACAGAGAAGCTGAATTAAAGAAGAGGTTGAATTAATAGTCTTTATTTAGAACTTCAAATGTCAGTCCAGTTAGAGATTGGCCATCAAAATACCTTAAAATTGATCTTCATGAATCACAGAACATAAGATTATTTACTGATCAATCAACAGATAAATTACTTTGATAAACTGTTTTCTTTATTATTTGATTATAATGTGTGCATAATGTTTACCACAAAATATTTTTCCTGTTGAAAAGAAAAGCAAAAGCGATGAGACTCACCTTACATAAATGTTAGACTGTATTTGCTTAAGCATTCAGCAAGGAATTAGTATTTGTATATAAACTGTTTTGCAATAAGTAGGAGTTCTAGGAGCTAGTGACTTAATTTTTATCCCATGTACCGCAGTGTCACAATCTCGCTTACTGATGAGGGAGTGGCAAAAGGAAATTAGGCAGCTGCAGTACCAGATGAGCAGAGTTCCTAATTACACAGTTAGTCTTTACCATCTAATTAGTTCTATTGACTAATACTGACACTGCTTGCATACTCAAAGTTAGCGTCTGTTTAAACAGCTTGCTGAAATTGGGTTCTGAAACTGCCGAAACCTGCATTTAAACAGGATTCAAAGCACAGGCAATTGTTTCTGTACTAGCAAGATATCTACATTATTATGTTTATATTTTTTTCCCCATTTGTATATTTTCCCATATAAAAAGTCATACAGCAAGTTTCTAAGAAGCTTTTCTGATCATGTTTCCTAGGAACACATAGCTATAAATCTTCGTTCTGCAAATAAAGAATGCAACAACCAAGCTCTGATTATTATCCAGACCTGGTCAAAGAAACCTGCATCAGTGTGGAACTTCTAAACAGGAAAGCCGATCTTCATAAAGATGTTGCTTTGTCCAGAAGCGGCAGTCCAGAAGGTATCTTTGATTCCGGTGAAAGGCAGGCAGTATCCGTTTGTATGGGTACCACCATGTGCCCAGGTGACTACGTTAGAAGACAAGGTTATACAGAGCCTTCACTTCTGAAGCTCTCCACAAAGGACTGCATTGGGAGCCACCACGCACCTTTCCAGTTTGACCAGCATGCTCTGGCCAGAATTTCCACTTCTCCAACTTTAATGCATCTAAGGATGACCTCTGCCTCAGAAGCACTGTCATTTCAGGACTGCTTGGACACAATTCAGCTGAGGAATCAAAAGAAATACACTGGTTCTCTCCACCACATTTATAAGAGTCCACCTCAGGGCACTACAGCTTCCTCATTGTCATTGCCTTCTTCTGTCAATGCAAAATTACTGTCTTCCAAAACCAAGTCTGAGACAACTATAGCAAACCCAGAGTCTGACAGCCCCAGATCATAGATGACAAGCCAAAAAGATACTCTCAGCAATAGCAGCCCCAATGAGATGCTTCAAAACTCCTGGAGAGCCAACTCTGTTACACTGCCTGCAAGACTCCTCTGCCCCAGTCCTACACCACAGGAGGGTGTCCAGGTAAGAGGAATAGGATGATGTAACCTCCTTTTCAGTCTTGCATATTCAGCGTTGGTCCATCATGGCCCAGTGTGTAAACACCACCACAGTTCTTAACCTGAACTACAACCTGGCCTGTGTTCATTCAATAAAACAGAGCAACTTCTATGCTCATCAGAAAGGAAGATTTTTCCTTCCAGATCAGCAAAAGACAACGGTTCCAGCCCTGTCTCTTGGTGACCATGTTGGTCTACTCGCCTATGCACATGGACAGTCTTTCCCACCTCTGCCCATTCACCATGGTGGGCCAGCATAACTGTTTGTAGGGCTGTGAAAGAACAAGACTAAGTAATTTATCCAGTTCTGGTTTCAGTTTTAAAAGGTTATTTTCTTCCCAAGTTCCTTCAGCAGGGTTCTTCCTAAGCCAGGGCAGGTCTCTATCCTGTTTTACTGAATAGCATTACTAACCCCAACAAAACCAAGAACGAAGTCATTCAAGATGCCCGAGCTAAATTTAAGGTTTGCTACTACCAAAGCAAGAGGTCCCATTCCCTTTCTTTATTTCCACTTACTTAGCTCTGTCACTCACTGGCCCCCTCCATTTTTGCATTCAGCTCCATAAACAAACAGGCAATTGTGCAATCTTTTCTGAAAAAGAGAAACACTGGTCCAGTGAGTGCCAGCATCAGTAAAAAGAAATAAGCAAGGGAGGAGCTAACCCTCTGTCTTTCCCTGGCAGAAAACTACTATTCAGTTATCCCCCAGAACTTCAACCCAAAAGGAAAAGGCGAGGCACTGCATAAGCCAGGTTTGCTACCAGATCTACTCTCAAGGACCTTGCATTACTTGCACAAGCAGTTAAATTAGGACATATGCTTGACTCCATCATTATGCAAAACACACATTTCACTGAACGTGGATGGTGTCAATAGGTGTATTGCCCTTTAATAACCAGCTAGTTTTGTGTCATGCTATTTTTTCCCCCTTCCAATATAGAAAACATTCTGGATAACATGAGAGTTCTCCCCCTTTCTCCTCAACAGAGAAAATAATTAGCCAATGTCTATGTAGTACATGTCTCTTAAAAAATGAGTACTTTTTTCACAAAACCAAATTGTTTACTTGATTTCTGACCAAGTAACAAGAATATCTCTCTTTCTTTCAGAAGAATGGATTGCCTATACAAAGGTATGCATGTATGTTTTACCTTACTCCAAGCTTTACTTCTCTACATTTTTAATGAATTCACTTCACTCAAAGACAAAACTGAACAGTAAAGCACTTACGTGTGAATCAATTTAAATTTGTAGATTTGCTTTGTGAAATGCCTGTCACCAGCTTGTTAAACTAAACTTTTAAATGAGATTTTGTTTCAAAGGTGGCCCTCTCCCCAACACGTTTAGCTATATTTCAAACAATCTTTCAGCTAGACCATTGGAGAACTATGCACTAGGAACTAACTGCCAGAAGGTCTGGCTGTTTGGATTAGCAGTATCAAATTTCAGCTTGAAGAATGTGAAACACCTCGAAATCTTGAGCAAAATTCTTCAAAACTTTGTGGGAGGAAAAAAGGAGCAAAGAAGCTATCAAAACAGCTCAATATTGTCCTCATTCATGGTCAAAGCAGATCTAGGACTGCTATTGGATTGGGGGACTGTTAATCCTACAAACTAAGAATAATACTTGAATTGTATAAATTAGTGCAGGCAATATAAACTGCTGCGTACTGTAGATCTGTGTAGTGAATTGGATCAAGCTCTTACAAACAATTATCAGGAAGTAAAACCTTGATTAGACATTAGTTTGATTCAATCATGTTTGTTTCCTTAAGATGTTCAAATGTTTACAGAAGGGAAACGAAGCTTCTTTTCTCCCATACAAAAAAGAAGTAGGAGCCAGTACCTCCCTTAATAACCCACACCTCTCTCACTAATGGTGCAGTGCTCACTTCACTGCATGATTTCAGGTGGAACATGCGGGTGAGTGAGGTATATTGAAAACAACAGCACTGGTGAGCAAGTCTTGGTGAAGACAGAAGTCACCTCACAGCAAACAACAATACACTGCTTCTGTGACTCTACCATAACGTGTTTCAGGTGTTAAGGCAGTAGACATCATTAGTTGAGGTATATCTCCTCTTCTTCACAATGCCTACTCATTTTTCAGGTAAAAGCTCTGTTATAGCCTACACTTTACAAACAGGTCTTTGTTTCAAGTATGTTTCTGTTTGGGACTGGGTGGCTTGGAGAAGACTGATAGTCTATGAGTCATTGCACAGTGCAGTTCCCTAGACAAGGCTTAAGAGATATGTGTGTGTATCTGAAATCACACTTTCATCATAGAAGAGGCCTCCTAGATTTTCTGAATCGTTGCAAATTCCAACCCACTCTTTGACATTTTGAATTTACAATGGAGATGGAGAGACAAGGGGAGGGAAAGATCTTTTCATCTCAGTGTGAAAACAGGTGACCTGTACCTATTATGGGAAGAGTCTGTTCTGATCAAACTCAAAACTGTAATACATAAGCATATCTCACTGACAGAGGGAAGATTTATGTGATCTGTAGAAAACTTTGTGGGAGAATTTGAAGAACACTGAATGCAAATCACTAAGCAGGAAAACATTACACATTTAATGTACACATTTTCCATTAGTGACACTAGCCTGGCAGCTTCAGAGGGAAGCCACTATGTGCCAGCTACGATATTGGCTCTGGACTTCTATCCAGATGCATTTTAAAATCAAGGAGTCACACAAGGAACACAAGCTTTGTTCCACAACCACCAGCAGGAAAGATTGACAAAAGGAGGTTTGGATGATGTATTATGATTTCTATTTTTTTGTCTTGACCAATACTAGAATGTGCTGAAATACAAAACAAAAATCACCAGTTTCTGCTCTAAACTTTTTTTGTCAAGTTGCATTTGGTCCAAGGTCTGGGCAAGGGCTGTATTCAGCTTCTCCTTTATCTGAATCATTAGTCTAACTCCTTAAAAGCTACTCCCTTCTTATCACAGCCAGAGAAAACTGCTGAAAATGTCAGATTATTCTCTCCATCTAGAAGCACACAGGGACAGCTGGCAACCCTCCTCCAAGGCTGAGTTATATATTGTCCAGAGTAAAAACACACCTCCGTCCTTCAGTTCTAATGAACTCTCCCCATTTCCAGGCTGCACTTTCAAAAGCCTTTCTTAAAGCACCAATGCTCATTTTAAACAGCCTTTCCCCACACAGCCCTCAGTCAGAAATGCCAGTACATCTCTGTCGACATAGCAACATACCGAACTGATGCCAATTAAAAATAATCAGCCAAAATAAATAAACAAAAAGGACAAGAAGGGCAACACAGAGAAAGGTGTGTGTGGTGGAGACAAGTTGAGATGCTAAAGCCAACACTGCCATGGAAGGAAACTCTGAGCTCATTTTCTTCTTGCACCATTTAGCAAATCAGAGACTGAGTGGAAAACTGGATTGCACTATTTCTTAAAGACAACCAGCTAATAAAGAGTCCTCTCAATAATTGCCAAAGCAGCTCATTTTCAATGAATTGAGGGAGCTGGGCTCAACTGCCTTGAAATGATCCTCTTCCTCTTTTAATTTCTCATATGCATGTAAAGTGTCATGCTAACTCTTTGAACCAGGGACTCCAAATACTCTCTCCCAGTGGGGCTTGGGTAACAGTGTCATCACCTGGCAGCTATCTCAGTACTGTGACCACCCTATAATGTTGACCTTTGTAACCTCTTCAGTTGCTCTTATTATCATCTAGTAGGTATTCCTTTAAATAGCGTATCTGTTATTTCAGTAAGGTGATTTATGTAGATGTCTGTTCCCTGGAACAGCTAGTTAGGCTAGGATTACGGACATACAAAGATACGGACCTCTAAAAAGCAATCAGCTGAAACTCTCCATGCCCTAGAAACAACTATATACACAGAATATTTATTTCTTCAGATCATGAGCTTCTCCAGTGTCTTTAATCATTTTCCATAACTTTGTAATGCAAACCTGTGACATTATCTTGTTTCACAAAACACGTAGATTTAAAGGAGGCATTATTGCAGATGATATCTCCTCAGGTGCTTGAGTTCATCCCGAAAGTACAAGTGTTTCTTTCACTCAAACACTTCAGTCCTCTGCCCCTAGTAAGATGGCATACAGACTCAAAAAGTGGTAAATTGCATTACACAGCATTTCAGTAGTTTAATTTCACCAGTAAAAACAACAAAAGCATCTAATGTATCTAATATATCTACAGGCATCAGGCCAGGTGATCACAAATACCTGTACCTTCATTTGTGAAGCATAATAATTTAGGCATGTAAGCCATTAATCAGCCAGGCATGCCAGATTGAAAAGGTATGTTGTAGATACATATCCAAGTGTCCTTGGCATGCTCCCACACATCACAGGCTCACATACCTATGTGAAGAGCTTGTTTAGACATATGTGTGTCTGAAGTTCAAGGCCTTTTTGATCTAGGAAAATAACACCATTTAACTCCATTAAATGAAACTATGCTTCCCATTACTTAGCTTCATAAACCACTAGCCTCCAACTTCAAAACACATTCTGAAATTGAAGTAGACTAGGTACTTTAAAAATCAATAATACATTGGCAAAATTTTACTCTAAATCCAACCTGAAATAAATCTCCTGAATTTCTCAGTACAGGAGCAACAACTGTAAGAATTATCCTTGTATTCTATTGCAGCATCTGGCTTCTATAATAAACCAGCTGCCCAAGAGACTGTATTGTGACATCACTAGAAGTTTCAGAAGCATTTTAATACAATCATTACCAACACTTAAAATCTGTACTGGGTAGCACTCAGTGCACCTCATCAGGAAGCAGTCTCCCTTGCACTGCTATGGTCTTCCTGACAACCAAGAAACAGACCCCATCCATAAAAGTTCTCAAATGATGTGTTGGGTTCAATTTCATGAGAAACCTCAGAGTTTCAATGTAGACCCCTAAAGTTAAATATATAGATTCTATGATCCCCATGCACTAGGGCTACCAGAAAAAGAAAAGCTTTTAGAGAACTCTTACATTGTACGTTGTAAACTCCTCAATACATATCTTTCAAGCCCTAACACGTCCATGTTTCAAGTGTTAAAGTCCCAGGCCAGGCCCTCCTGATAGCCTATAGCCTACAGACCTCTCTGTTGTTAGGAGCAGTTTTTCCTTTCATCTGCACAATAAATTGGTTTAGCTAAGACAATTGCAAGCAATGTTACTGTCAGATCATAACAAAAAGCATAATCTCCATGTCCTGCTATTCATATCAAATGCCTGTTCTCTACCTCAGAGCTCATCTGCTAGTTGATAAGTTGTCAAGTGACTATTCATGCACTTAAAGAGAAAAATATATCTGTCAGGTTTCACATCAGATGTTGGCAAATGGCTAGATATTCACAGCAAGCTACCTGCCTAGGCAAAAGAAACAGTAAGAATTATACTTAACTGACCAAAAATAACATGTACAATAAATGGTGACTGAAAACAGAATTTTTTACATGCGTACTTCCTTCATGCTTCCTCCGTCAGCTACTTAATTACTGACCCTTTGAACTCTTAACACAGTCTTCATGCATCAGTCAACTGAAGACAAGCACAACAGCTGTAGACATCAGTCACTCTGCAACAGTATACTAACATAATTCACTAGGTATCGGTGTGAGTTATTAGCAAAATCCCAAAAGGATTTTGATGTGCACCAATAGTTTCTGTATTTGAATGCAAGCAGCCTCTGGCACAAACACGCTGCTGGGTATAGAATGCCTGTGTCACTTCACTTGATGGATCTACATCCTGGACAATGCCCTCCGTTAGTAACAACAATAGTTGGAAACAGTCATTTGTTTTCAATCAGCAGGGCCACTAAGTCATATTATATTCAAAATACAAAATATTTGAATTAGTAGAAAAAATGCTGAAAAGATTTAGAAAGAAAATAGCACAAACTAGCCAGAAGGTTAAACATTAAGATAAAAAAAAAAAAAAAAAAAAAAAAAAACCCAAACTGAAACATTTTAACTGTCACTAGTAATGCTGTCTTTTCTTGAAATCACCTGAGTTATATAAAGGTTAAAATTAATGACAACCCACATATCAGCTAGGGACATGGTATTTAACTGCTCCTTTGGAATCCAGTACAAAAACATAGATTCTGAAATCTCACTCACTTTTTTACTAATCTCAGAAGAACCCATGAATTTCCAACATTTAAATTCTCTAAGTACCTATTATCTGAGCCAAGCCATGACCATAAACAGCAACAATGTGGAGTTGGACAGATAATTAGATATTTGTTGTCTGTCACTGAAATTTTCTCCTCATTGTTCCATTAACACTTTATGGCATAGCATTTGGTTTCTAGCTCATTTCCTCCTGTATCAGCAAGGAGTACTTCAGCAGTGTCCTCTGCAGCCACGAGCAGAGAGACATGACATGTGTTGTTCTTGTGTCTCACAGATCAGCCAAGCACAAGCATAGCTCCATGGTAGTGAGTCTGCCAGGACTCGAGATGCTCCCTGGAGATCTCCTGGTGTCAGGCCATGCCATTGACTGCCTGCACCACGCAGCCCTCCTGCTAAGTGCAGGTCAGACAAAGGATGGGTTTGTTTGTCTCAGCCCACCAAAAGCCACAACTAAAACACATGTGTGTGTGGAATAGGGGGCAGAGGGGTATCAGTGCAACAGCAACATGCAAGGCAGCACAGACTCCACGGAGGATCCTGTTACCCCACACCAAAGTGACTGCACCACTAATTTTAAAATTCCCTTTTTTTTTTTTTTCCCCTGCATTTTATCATTGAATGCAAAATGTAAGAGGTAGATGAGGGGGCCAGGACACAGATCACCTCCCTCCTCCACAGGCTAGGAGCAACCAGAGCCCAGGCCAGGATCTCCACCTGCCAAGGGTTACAAATTCCTACCTGCACAGCTTCAGAAAGAGGGAAGAGAGTAGCCCACGCCACCTTTTCCAGTAGTGTTCTAATCACTAGGGTAGCAGACCCAACTCATGGTTAGAGGTTGCTCACAAGACCTTCCAACACTGAAATATAGACCTGCAAGCAATTTCCACAGATACCTATTGGGAATATAGTACAGTGTGCAGTGAGATAAAGACCAGAAGATGCTGATGACCAGAGATAAAAATTTTCTCAAAAAATAAGTCAGTCATAGCCAGCAGTTTCATGAAAGCAAACAAGACAGCCATCTCCAGAAAGAATGACCAAGGCCTTCAAAATCCAAAATGAGAAAGTTTTGACTATGATTCCCAGTCACACACAGGGCTGAGAGTAGGTGCCACATCTAGAAAACTCTTTCAAGTTTCTTGCTGGACAAACACAGCATTTCTCACCTCTCACCAGTGCATTCCTACATCTAGATACCCAGCTTTCCCTGTACCTCACTAAGGACCATGAATTACAACCTGCACCACTGTGCCAGCCCCTTGACAGATGTGAGGCTTAGGTTTTATAAGACTGTTTATTCACAGGAGCTTTAAATACTTGCATAGCTCCAAAATATCAGTGATGAGAAGACAGGGTCTAATTCTTGCTTCAAAACACTTAATATCTTCAAGTATTGGCTTGAAGTATGATGTGTTTTCTCATGTAAAGAATTGGCAATCACATACTGATCATCTGCAGCAAGTGGGAGTGTTTAGCATCATCCAAGATCCCATCACAGATAGACATAATTCTTGTTGGGAGGAACCCAATAGGTTTAATGACTTTTAAGTCTGGTGCACAAACTGCCTAAAACACAAGTATTAAATCTGAGCCAAGTATAGTATATCAGGCTTCATCTAACAGCTACAACAAAACAGTTTTATTTTTAGCTATTTGTTTCTTTACTGATAACACATTTGTTTTACCCATTAGAGTCCAAAAAGCCAAGGTGGCCATTTACCAAAAGAGGAGTTGTGAGTATTTCACCATGTTTTTTTTTCCTTGCACTGACCTTGCCTTGTCCCACAACTAACCTGGGTAAAAAGAGTTTCTTTACTTTGCTGTCCTTGGAGAAAGGCAGCTAGCAGGTGAGCTGCACTCAGAGGTCTCTGCCCACCCTGGGACTGCTTGGACATTAATCTGCAATGAAGGTAGGGTGGCTCCAGTGCAGCCACCAGTGCCTCTGCATGTGATGCACATGAAAACACAGTCAGTGCCGCTGTCCCCCATCCCTGTGGGTGGTGGGAGGAGAGGTACCCTTGGCACCAGAAGGGCAGAGTGGGGTGGGTAAAGCAGGAGCTCTCATTCAAGGTGTTCAGGGTTGACAGCAGGTCCAGTGCAGGTCCCCCAGGTAAGAGAGCACAAGGTAGGTAAGTCCGTCACATCGTTGCTTTGACTATAGTGTGTTCAGTATTTTCTGCATGCCAACCTAGTCCTTAGTGCCTGAGGGCCCTGGAGTATCTGCCTATCTCCCACTTACGTGGAAGGGATCTAGGCTTTACCTATCAAAGTAGCTTTTAAATGCTTTCTTAGGCCTTTCCTGCCTTATGGGCACCCTTACACGCACCAGTAAAAGCATACACACCAATACACTTCAGTTAATTTCCTTGTCTAACACATTTCCTTGTCTCTTCCAGTTATGAAAATTTTCAGTTACTACAGTATCCGAATTTCCTGAGTGTTGCTCATCATTCAGAAAATTATTCACAACTGTCGTGATAACTTTGCACCCCTAAACAAGTAATTGTGAACAGTCCCTTCCTAATATTTTTTGCATTTTATCTTCTAAATCTTGACTATCAAAGGAGTTTGTGCAAGTGAAACCAATGCAAGGGCTCAGACTAGCATGTATGACAGTTCCCAATTCATTGGATAGCATTTCTATAGCATTTTAAGGAGCATGGCCTAAACCCGAGAACTTTTAAATTTAGCAAAATATTTGAAATTTGCAATAATATGCATTTGATATTTAGCCAGAATGTGATTTCTGATACTATTAAATGCCATAAAATTTAATTTATGAAGATTTACTGGGGCATTTGTTAAGGGTGTATATATATAATTGTATTATTGTTTCCACACCATTTCAAACTATCAGACTATCTTTCAAGATAGAACTGAGATGAAACTCTGAATTTCAAATATTATAATCAAACACATATTTCAAAATTGGCTTCAGTTCAGTGCCTAAAGTTCAGACAATAAAAATCCATGAGTATATTGTTCCAGAGAGCAGATAAAACTTAGGCAAACACTTTCTAAGTCTATGCTCACAGCACTAAATTAGAGTTCATAAATATTGGTTAAACTTTTTACATGGCACACTCAGCCTGGAAAACAAAGCCAAACCAAAAGAAACTGGGTTTATTTCATGATCCCTCACACAGACAAATTCCTCCTGCTCTTTAAGTTTTCTAAAAGCTCATTTTAAAGACAGTACTCTGCAGCCAACCAAAGTTTTTTCAATATGTAGCTCAAATATAAAATTGAAAATAAATAAATACACAAGCGTCATATACTTATGACAGAAGGATTTCAACTACGAGTTTATTGTCCCCTACTTCTGACAGTGTTAAAGGAAGCAAAATATTTTATTTGTTCTGTCTTCCAAGGGTAGTCCATTGTCTGTTGCCATACCAATGATTTGCCCTGCCAAAGACTTCTTTCTGTGTTACATAAATAAGATCTTACACACCCACACCTAAACCACCTACACACCCCACCCATAGCTACAAATAAACCTGCCATCACTGCCTCATCTCTGTGTAGGAGAGCCTGGAAATATAAGGAAATCACTCAGTTAAGGGCAAGCTCCTTACAGATCAGAGCAAGGTTACCAAGCTGGGTAAACTTCTTAATGGTCTTTAAAACACTGTATGAATCAGGAGTGGTTTTTTGTCATTCAACAGAGTAAAGACAAACAGAAGCAAGCAACTGATCTGAAACACTGTCTTTCAACTGTTAACATCATAGACTGCAGCACATATGGATTTTTCTGCTTTAAGGTATCAAAATACTCAGTATACTTTACCAAGAGTACTTAAAGATGGGGATTAAAATTTTGTGTTCAAGTTACCATTTTTCACTACATTAATATTGATATGAGACCTTTCTGCAAAATTAATGCATAAGGTATATTTTTGTGGTTTGAAATGGAAGGGCAAGGGGGAAACTGAGTGTTGTAGGTTAACAAGGACCCTCACAACCACCTGGATTTTGCCAGGCTTTCAGTATGCCCTAGATCAGAGAGGTACCACGTTCAGAAAAAGGCATCAAGACAGACTTCTCAGCAGTGCCTGCAGATCTGGGGAAAGAAATTGCAGCATCACAGAGCTGACAAATGGGGCACGGTCACCCCCACTGCTGTCTTAGGGGTATGTTTGGAGACAGCCACGTAGAGGTCAGTGACAACACCAAGGTTTAGCTGCAGAAATCCTACCAAAGCCTGTCTGCCAGATAAACAAGGTTCCTGGCCTCTGGGCCCCCATAGCCATAGAAATGCCAAGCTTGGGCTACCAAGGTGATATTCAGATAACCCACATCTAACACCATCAACTCCCCCCCCCCCAGTAAACCTTTTGCTTCTCAAACAGGCTGTTTATAATATGCAGTTCCTTAGACTTGGTTGTTGAGGTCTCCTGACAGTGCCTAACTTACATGTGAACATCTGACTTAGGAGCAGGTCAGTAAGTGATAGTGGACACCTTAGAACTAAACAACAATATCCAAGTAGCTAAGACCTAGTCCTTTGGTACCTTGATTTTACCATTTGAAGAAAAGTAAATCCATTCCTGCTTTCCAGCAGCAGCAGTAGAACAGATTAAATTCCTTAGCAAACTACCCACTATTTTTTGATACAGCATCTTACAAACATACTGTGTTACTTTCAAATTCAGTGTGTTTATATTCTAAATATTTTGAAGGAAAATGTCAGGTTTTAAAATCTTTTTTAAAGATTTTTAAAAGGTTTTCTTAAATATTTTTAAAGATTTTTTAAGGTTTCAGAAAAACAACTAGTACTGGCAGTCAGGCTCTTTACATGGGCAAATAGACCATAGATTCTTTTCATAAGGTCTGAAGCAGTTGATGCAATAGTCAGTGGTTCTCTTTTTTCTCCAATCAATAGAGTAAACCTTGTCATAAATTTATAAAGGCACAACAGACTGAGCAGAAAGATATCATCTGCCGGTTAGAAGTGAAAAAAGAAGCAGCAGTGTGGGAGCTTTTCACAAGTGAATGCACTTGCTTTCTGGATCATTTGCTCATTCTCAAGATGGTAACTTCAGATTTCATTTCTCAAAAATAATGAAACATTATTTGCCCAGCTGTCAGCATGGCAGACATAAAGCCACCTGTAATCTCTCATTGGGTATCTAAAGGGGAATGACTTAGTTTTTTCCCCATCTAGCCTGCTCATCCTGTTTTCACAATCCCCTTCAGTTTTCACTTCTTGATGGTATCCCTTCTTCTGGACATCACTTTCTAGTGCTTTTCAAACACTATCTGAGAGCAGATCCTTCTAGCAATTTCAGCTGATATTCCACTATTCCTCTCACTAATACTGAACAGAAGCCCCTCTCCAATTCACTGCACTGGATATTTTTTTACCACTAGTCTGTAGCATTATACTCTTTGTTTAACTTCATATAGAGCTGTGGGTAGATTATCCTGACTAGAGCATGAAAAACCTCAGAATTCAGCAGACCTGAAGATCTAATATTACAAGAAAACAAGTAAACTAAAACCAACTCCTCTCCCCAAAACTCCAAATTATCTCTATCATGTTGAATTTTAAGAGCTTTGAAATATGGACAAGAATATTGCACACTGTTACAAGAATAGCTGCACTATTTACATTCATCACACATCAAAAGTTAGTGTATTCATTTAAAAGGACAAAATCTTCCCTAAATACCTTCATATCATTTTTCTCTTATTCCGCATAGACAATTTCTGTTTTCTTATTAAGGCAAAGGAAAAAGATTAGTGAAAAATTTTCCATGTTGCTGAAAAGTTAGACTAGGCAGTACAAGAACTGCAAAGTGAAGGGAATAGAGGAGTGGGCTGAATTCCTCCTTAGTGGGACAGAACAGGAAGGGAGAGGAAAAGAGTTGACGGGACCAGCCATTGGTCCAAAGCAGAATGGTAGCATCCTTCATTCTATACACTTTGTTCAGAGATATAAGAAGATTAAGAACAGGTGAATTCTGAGAAGGATGAGGATAGCAGGAGACATGCAGGCCCCTTGGTGAGTCTGAGGTAGGAACCCACAGATGAGCCTCAACCAACCCTGCATGACCCATGAATGATAAACTATTCAGTCCATGCCAGCTTCCCAAACTCTCCTGCCAAAGAAAGAACCCACTGAATTTGGGTGGCCAGTTTTACCAATACCTGCTGCTCTAAATACTTCCTACTATAGAAATATTCCACTGATTTTAATGAATCTTCACAGGGAACTTTAAGACCACCCTTTAAGTTCTCAGGTCAAATGTTCATGGCAACTAAAGAATTACACAAGGGTAAGCAAACAGTCTCATTAGCTCTTCAGTCTTGGCACCTGGGTGATTGGTATTTTCATTAATGCTTTTCACACATACATAAAAGAAATTCTACTCTGTAATCTACATTTTGTGAGACTTTTTCAGATTTAGGTCAGATTCAGCACAGCTCCAAGATCACCGTCAGAACTTAAAAAATACAAAATCTTAAACATACACATGCACAGTAATGTAAACATAAACATTCACTCAATACAGGTTAAAAAAACAATTCAAAAAATCCAAACCTTCACGAGCCCTCTACTTATGCTATTCCGACAATTTTTTCCTTATAGTAACTTTAAACAACTTCGATAGTAGCAGATGTATGGGGTAGGAAAGAAAGCATTTAAGAAGGTCATAGAAATCTGTAACTATGACTCTGATATTATTAATTCCTTCACACAGATCTACAGGGGGCTCAGTTGCCCCTCTTCTGCTAGAGAGCACAGCAGGGACATAGTTGCCTCTGCAGCAGCCACAGAGACACCGCAGAGACATCACTCATGCCTTGCTCCTCACACAAAGCCCAATATTTAGCCTTCAGGCAGGTCAGGAAAAGTTTCTCAGAGTGTCGTCTTCTGCCCTCCCCGAATCAAATTACCATTTCATGAGAATTAACAGTGCAAATATGTTCTTTCCAGAAAGAAAAAATGAGATATATTGAACTGGCACAAATAGTAAATAACATGGATTTGCTTTGGTTTTAAAGATATTTATGAACACTTTAAAATACCTCCAGAGCAATGAACTTCTCTTGGATGTTGGTTTGTGGAGGCTTTTCACAAACTTAGAGGAGTTAAACAAGGTGAGTAAAAAAATGCCTTACTGAGATCAGAAATCAGTCAGTCCAATAAAAGGAGACAAGAAGCCATCCATAAAGTTTTTATTCAGATTTAATTCTCACATTTAGAACTTAGTTCAAATAATTAGTCTTTCTTTCATTTGTATTTGGTGTATCAGTGAGGGTCAGAGTTCACCAGGGCAAATTACTTTCATGTGCCTCCAGCAAAAGATAAACAGGCATTTGAACGTGAAGGAGAGCTTATTTGGCAGGTGTTTCTGAAGCAAACATGAGCTTGAGACTAACTCTCATAAGCAGTATCCTTTTAAAAGGATTTGTGAAGATAAACTCCAGTGGCACAATCTGTACAGCAAAACAGTAAGAACAGCAAAGTAACTACAATAAGAAGTTTCCTTTCACAAGCAGATGGGCACAAAGACTTTGCTATCTGACACTCCAGTAGAGCAAGTTAAAACAAAACGATGACCCCTCTCCAGCTGGGGTTTCCCTTGGCATAGGTGGAAAGGGTATCTGCTATACAGATGGGATGCTCTGTGTTCATGTGCTACTTACCCTCCAGCTTCCAGGGGGAAGGAGACCACAAGGCTCCAGCTCTTTTCTGCTTGTGGCCAGTTGCTGGGAGACCATTTTCATCTCCTGGAAGTTAAAGGAACTCATAAGTCCAAAATAGCCTTTATATAACTTTAGAGGCAAAATAGAAGTTTTTCTTAGCTTGAGAGCTTTTTTACAGGACACCTCACCCTTAACAGCAAAGTGAATTTTGGAAGGGGCTCTTCAGCTGCATAAGTTGAGTGACTGCTCACAATCACATCACATTCCCCAAACCAGTTGCCCACTTCAAATTCTTTCCCTTATTGTAACTCCCTTGCCTTAACAGTTAACATCTTTTTAGCCAAAACAAGAAAAGCAAGAAAGCTCTTCAGAGTAGGGACAATTAGCCAGAGCTGAAACACATGAGCAAGTCACCTCTGCTCAGTGACTGACCATACACCAGATGAGCTGCTGTGACTGACCACCTGAGCAGGTTTGGAGATAAAAGGAAAGAGATTTTTAGCTGATGTGTTTCACCTTGGGCTTGCTGCAGGCTAAGACTCTTATATGCAGCCAACTACTAGAGTTCAGTTGATGTGTCATTGCTGATTCCTTTGTTCTTGTTCAAAGAAGGGAGTGAGGTATATTGCTGCATGTCATTTAGCAATAATAAAGGCTGTGAGCTTGGCTGGAGCTTGATCATGTCTTGAGATAATTATCTTTAATACATTTTCTATTTTGTTTTCTAATTTTGTTGTCCTTATCAATGAGGATTGTAAACCTATTATCACCTATTATGCATACTTGGATACAAAATAATGATCAAGTGTAGGAGAAGGTAGCTGCTTTCAATGCCTTTCTTCATGCATTTTACAGCATGCATTCTTCTTGACAGCAGGCTGAATCCATGAAAAAATACGTGCTGTAAAAGATGTAAAATGCACCTTTTGTCAAAATGAAAGAATAAGCATCATCCTATAAGCCATTCTGCCCCCATAAATGCACCAAAGCAAGCAGTGTGTGCAGTTACATCAGCAGTTCAAACCAGCATCACAGAGGATGATGTACCCTCTGGCCTAAAATTTGGCCTAAAGCTGAGCCTGGTTAGGAATTTGTGCGCAAACAGCATGTTCAGGAGGCAAGTGTGGGCTTAGGAGCAGGCTTTCACCCACATCTGACCGACACTGTGGGCACCCTTAAATCCAGTGTTAAAATTAACTTATGGGGAATATGTGACTTTTTATAACGTTTTAGAGAAATTTCCCTTACCTCCAACGGCATGAAACAATCTCAAACTATGAAAGATGGTATCTCATTCAAATAATCACGAAGACTTCCTTGTCACAGCTGTGATACACAATCAGTATTTTCCAGTAGATATTTTTCATGTCAATTCATGTTAAATACAGCTGCCACCATAAAATAAGTTTAAATGGAATAATTAATCTTGTTATCATTATGTAAGTGGGTATTTTTATAGATTTGGTTTAGCTAATTAAAGCATTCTGGGTGTAACTCTAAAACTAATTCTGGCAATGTCAGGGAGATAACTATAGGCACCCTCTTAGGCTTGGAGCCTTTGAAGAGATCAGGGATGGGAAATAAAGTTGTTTTAAACCTAACTTCAGAAGAACACTGATGTTAATTTCTCTTCTCCCACCCCCCTTAGATAAGTCTCAATTTTCTGAAAACATTTTTTGAAACTGTGAAGGAGCATGTCAGCAAGCCAGACTCTGCTATGGATTTCAGGTCCATTCTCAGAAAGGTAACATAATTAGAAGTATTCTTGCTTAATATCAGCAGGTCCTTGTAGCAGACCATTTATGCAAGTGCTTTAGAGCAATCAAGTCAGTCAAGGCCATGTAGTTTGGTCTCAGCCTCAAGCACCTCCTGCCAGTAAGATGTGTTTCTTTTTGTTCACTGACATGTTTAACGTGGTTGTGAAAAGGTGCTCTGTATGTGGAACGAAGTGTGGAAAGATTTTGCCTTCCTGCAGAACTGTAGCCCAGAACTTGAGGAGACTTTGGCCCTGGCAGAGGCGAGATTCTTGCTCTGTGGAAAATGTTGGAAATGCTGTGGAAAACCAGACCCCAGCCCCATCACTGGATGTTCCTTTCCTCCTCCCACTCCATTGCATAGATCCTTCCTTTACTCCATGGACCAGACCCACAAGTGTGTTTAAGTGCTTAATTAATTGCTCCATGGGACTGAAATACCTCTTGCACTTTGGCCTGTGTCTGCGAAGCAAGAGAGAGGCATGGACACAGCTGTCCTGCAGTTGCTAAGCACTGCCCTGCAACCCTTTTGGGCAGTCTTCATGGTAAACAAGGCAGTTGGCCAAACAGCAGTCTCCAGGGGCTCTGTTTCCTATACAGCTTCCCAATGACCAAAAACTTGGAAATACTAATACAGACAGAAAGGTTCATGGTACAGGTTCATGGACCTGAACTTTCCCTAGCAGTAGAGGTCATTAAAAAACTTCTGGGAAAACACTAAAACAGAGCCTACCTCAGGGTTAGTATTTTTAAAAGGAAAAAGGAAGCTAGAGTTTGGCCTCTCACCCCCATTACCTCTGACTTCAGGTGTTCTTATCCATAGTTTGTGTGCAATAGACAAAATCCTAGGCAAAATTGAGTTTTATCACAGATGGCATTCAGCATTTCTAAGACACTCAGATATAAGGTGACATGTGATATGAGGCCATGTAAAGCTGTTGCACAGATAGTGGTTCTATGTGAATTTCACATCATTTACTTCTAATGAGAACAAATATAAGAATGCTTCACACCTCTGCAGAGCTGTTAGAACTGTGCTCCCACTCATTGCTTGAGCACTGTCGTGGGGTTTTTTTACTGCTTTACCACATTTACTACTTTTTATCTTGCCCTTCACTTTTCTAATTCCCACTTTCTCTCTTCCTCTATTTTCCTAGGTACGAAGAAATCTCAGGTAAAATGCACATTACAAAACCAAAACTGTCGTTCCTCCCTTTGTCATGACATTTTCTTGATAAATTTACAAGTCTTTTCTGCAGTTTTTCCAGGGTGACCTCTGCCAGACACACCAGATTTATTGCCTTAATTATACCTCTGCTGTCTTCTACTTGGAAAACCTGAGACAGAGAGAGAATTTTGGCATCTACCTGAAAGTAAAGTGATGTGGTGGAGGTTGTTGTTGTTGTCTCCAGCCTTCCTACCTTATGAGAGGATTTTAACAGCGGACTAGGAAAGTTCATTAGAAGCAAACCTGTGTAGATAGCATTGTAATAAACTATTGTAACTAATTTGCTAAGTTAAGCAAGGCAGGTATGATATGATCTGTAAATGTTAAACCACACTATCCTGCTGTCTAAAGTATTGTAAAAATAGAATATGGTACCCTGTGTGGGTTTTGAAATGATTTGTAGTTACTATAACTTATATTACAATGAATGTTTGAATATATATGGATAAAATATAAAGTATGCCATTCGGTTGGAAAAATGTAACTACTTCTCGGAAACCTCATCACCTAAAGCTGATAAGTAAACTGCTTCTTGGAAACCCCACCACCTAGAGCTAATATGCAACCTCTTCTTGGACCCCACGCCCCCCCCACCTAGAGATAACCTGTAACTGCTACTTGAAGAAAAGCCCGCCAAAAAAATTGAATCATGAGGCTTTTAAAAGATCCAACAGGAGAAAAGCGCACCAAGAGACCAAGGCTTCAAGACTTCCAAAAGACCCCACAGGAGGAGGACAAAGACCCAAGCATCTCAAAGGACCCAATGGAGAAAAAGCAGGACAATTATCTGACGGGAGGAGATTGGTTAAAGACAATGACACAAGAGTATAAAAAAAGCTGCTTTTTGGAACTCGGGGTGCGTGTGGCAGAGCTGCGGCTCTCCATGCACCCAGCGCTGCTTTGCCTATTGCTTCCCACCCTAAATTGATTGAACCCAAATAAAAATATATATATTTTTATAAAAATTGGCTTTGTCTGATTATAACAGCATTTTACACAGATTTTTTGAACTGCAGAGGGTATCATAGGTATAAAGTCAACCTTCTGAGTGTATGTTCCCCTGCACATGTGAAAGCCCATACTTGTAATTTAGAACAGGCAAGAGGGGGAAGCTAAAAGGAAACACTGTATTTTTGCAGGCAGAAAATATGTCCTGCCAGCCTCTATCATTCAGATGAATCACACATAATCCCTTGACTTGATGAACTCTATCTTAACAAAGTGAATTGGTTGCAGAAAACAAGAAACAAAAATCAAGTCACATTGTAAAATCTCTCTCAAGTGTTTTACTTTGATACATGTCCTGCATATCAGCTTGGTTTAGATGTTGGGTGGGAACAAAACGTGTTAGGATATTATGTGCTTTAGCAGGCAACAGGGCTCACATTCCCTGAGTACAAGACAGCCCCCAGCCTCATCAGCATGCCGTAGCAGCAGTGACATGCACAAACCTCAAAACTGGAGGAGCATACAATAGCTTCTTTCTGCTTAAGGAAAGGGGTATATGATACAAGCCAAAACAAGGAGAACAGAATGCCAGGAGCATATCAGTGCTTTCATGTGTCTTGGGAGCCCACAGTCAGAGAGCAGGGTGGGTTTTGGCAGAGCCCCGGCAAGAAAGCCAGGCTTCTTTCCTCACTCATGGGTATTTGCTGACCCACGTGCCCACAGGGAGGAAGCAACATCCTGAATAGAACAGCAAGCAACCCCTCTACAACGACAGTGGTTTAGCTCCTCTGACAGCTTTTGTTTAACCATAGATAAAGCAAATGTAGAAGTTGGGATCAAAACACTATCAGTAAGTGAGCATTTGCCTCCCTCTAAGCCTGGAAAGAGTATTAGTGATGATTTTGTAAAGTTACAGCACTAGAGCTGGATCTGTCTTTGCAAACACTGCATCAGCCTGAAGTGACAACAGCCAGCACACCAGTGGGAGTCCTGGGGAGAGTGCTCTGCTCTTTCTGTCTTGTTATTTAGCAGACCCATGTGTACTGTAAATACTTTAGATTGATCTTCAACATGTAATGTTTTGTTACAGGCTGCCCAAAGCTGGGAGCACACCTCTTTGTAGCAGTTGAACTCTGCAGCTTTTAAGGCCTGGGAGTTTCACTTTGCTTGCTCCCTGACAAGGATTTCAAACACTCACACCTACAAAGTTCCCCAGTGGGAAGTAGCAGATGACCCTAAAGCAAAAGGCAGCCCTCAAACATAACTGAGGTTTTCCTGATAAAATTAAAACAGCAGATAAATATGAGCACTGCTCAATCTGTTAGCATGGCCACAGCATCTGAAATGGGAAGCAGAAATACAGAAAGTGAATCTGCAGGAGTGATGCAATTTAGCCTGTAGAGAGCCTTTATGCTTGCTTGCTTACTCTCACTGTGTGAAAAGTTCATTTTTAAGTAGTCCCTGTCTAATTACAGTCAGCTGATGATGCAGAAAACTGTTAGCTACCTCCCTGCCAGGGAGGAAGTTGAGGTCTAAGGCAGCGGTGTGAACAAAACAAACAGTGCAAGAGGCTGCCTCTGCCGGATCTGCTGGTCACTCCTTTGCATCGGCTGACGCAGTATCCCCTCCTCCTTAACAATGTGTGGAAGAGGAGCACTGATGAAACAGAGAAAGCCTTTATCTTGTCACTTAAAGAGAAGGTGGAGAGGTCCATGTGTAAGTAGCTAAGGTTAAGAGTCAAGGGTACAATTAGCAAGTTATGTGGCCTTTTTGTGCATGTTCTCTGAGTATAAATGGGTCTGGTCTCCCTGCAGAGATGAAATGAGGATGTACATGCCTTTCTACTACCCTGAGCCCTTCCTCATTCTGTAAGAAATGATTGGCACCACCCTTGTGCTGTCAAAGCCTCTCTGAGCAAGGTCATGGGACTCCCAAATCAGTGAGTCACTTGTATTTGCTCAGAATCATTTGCAGTGACTTGCAAACTATTAAGAGTAGATCACAAATTGGAACAAATCAAGTAAGATCTCAAATAAAGAGCTCTTTGAGTGGGATTTATGTCTAGGGAGGATTTGTTAGGGCTAATCCTTAATAGGATAAAATTTCACTTGCAAGGGGAATATTATGTCAGAGACCTTACCATGTAAAGTAGCTGGAGGAGCTATCTCAGCTACAGATTTTTTTCTAGCTATTGTAGATAAAAAGGGTTGGTCCAGGAATTTTTTTTTTTCCTTTCTTAATAATTTATTGATTCTAAATAGTTTTTTAATTCAGTCCTGTTTAGGAAGCTAGAAATGAATCTCCAAGTGTCTTATGGTCATATAATACATTAGCAGATAGGTTTATTCTCCAAAGGCTTCATGCAGCCCCCACTGAAATCAAAGAAGCCAATCTTGACAGGGCCAGGCAGCGCTTCATCCTCACAAGCAACACACCAAGGCCTTGAGCTACCCAACATGGTGGCTCACTCTCTGCCACCATACTTCTCCCCATCCTGGAGGCTAAAGGTCCAAATAAGTCCTTGGGAGATGAGGCAGAGAGAGAGTTAACGTCTTCCAGAGACAGATAAATCTGGGGGTCCTTTTTCTTGGGTAAATACTCCAATGACAGAATTATCACTTAAAAGAGAGACTCGGGTTCTTTCTCTTCTTGCCAAGTCTGATGAGGAATCTAGCATAATGGCCACACAAGGAGAACATGTTTGGCACAGAACAGGTCCCATAGGAAAATAAGATGGTTCTGGCACTAGTCTGGGGACTTGTGCTGGGAAAACAGCAGTTTTAGGTATGGCCCCCAAAAACCATAGGATATCTGGGGAATATTACTGGCAGAGAAATAGGTCCTTCCAGAGTTTAGATACCTCTGGACCAAGAAAACTAAAAATAGAGGAGTGACCCCCTCTTTATTCACAGACACCTGACAAATATCTGCCTTCATATTTTAATCAGTGAATCAGTGACATAAGGAAGAGTTGCAGTTCCAGCTTCCCCTTCTGGTGTGTGTCTGTCTGGAATCATTATCTGCAATATCACTCAACACAAAAACTTGAAATTTAAGTTGCAGGTCCATTAAAGTTTTCCCCATAATGGCCTTGAATCAGCAAAGACTTAGTTACCATTTTTCACATTCTGAGGTGCCCCCATTCCAGTTAAATACTTCAGTCACTTCTGGCACCACTTCTCCAAAAACTAATTCTCATTAATTTCAACAGTCTTTTGATCAGGCTGTATATAATGAAAATTATTTTTCTCTCACTACCCCAAAGAGTTTAGAAAGGCAGGATTTATTTTTTTTTAAAGAATTTTTTAAGATTACAGTTTAAATGAGCTTAATATGATTCCCCCTGTTCCCAAGTCAGATTAGTAACCACAACTTTTCATTTAGCAGTGAATTTAAGCATGTTTGAATGCATGTTCTGAAATTCTGGCTCTGCTGACCTAAGAAGAGTTCAACCGTTTTTTGCAGTGAGTCCAAGATTTCATCTGGGACTTCACTTACGAGGTGCTTTGGCTTCCACTGAAGAAAATCAGTATTCAGCATCTTCTAGAAACAGGATTGGTTTTGCCAGCCTTGGCAATAACTCATGTTTCACATATTTCAGGGGATCTGGAAGGTAAAGTCAAGTGGTTGGACAACTTTCAGAAGTTTAGGCAGCTGGAAGAGATCATAATTTGACCCCAGATCTGGGATCGTGACAAAAGATTCCTTGTCCCAGAGGTAAGCAGATTTTTAAAGGGCATTTTTCCTTGAGGAAGGTTTAGTTTCCTATCTATCTTTATAGCATGGTCTAAAGTTGGCTGGTTGGCTATATTCTAGTTACTGGGGATGGCTCCGCTCTAACAGAGATCCTGAGCACTGCAAACATCATAGCTGAACACGCAGGCAGTGCACAGTGCCCTGGTGGCAGCATGGGTTGCTCTCAGCTAGCATCCAAGAGAGCACAATCGTATGATCCAGGAGGAGTCTCCAGTGTTTGCTTTTAGAGGGGCAGAATGAAGTGGGATAGATGTATTACTACCTTTTCATAAGTATATGAAGTAGAAACTATTTGCATCTTTCACTCCTCAAGCTGAGCCAGAAAAATTTCTATTTACATTTAAATAGCATTACAAAAATTTACACAGCATACCTGGGGAATGTGCACATTTCTGCTGTGGTTACTCCCTTACGCAGAATTTAAGCATCATTATGGCAACATCATCAAGTGGGTCTCACCTCAAGAACTATGTTCACATGCAGGGCTGCAAAAAACATTAAACTCACTCTAGAAAAGAAAAACCCAGCTTAACATTTCAAAAGTGTAAACACATTTAAGCAATAGCACCGCTGAAAATACACAACCGTGCTCATTTATTAGCTGTGTGATGTGTCTAGCCTGAGATATAAGCACATATGTGCTCAGTTTGTTTAACTGCTGGTTGCCTCCCAGTTCATCATCAGATATGGAAGATTCTCCATTCTCTCTTTCTTTTTTGGGTGAAGTGCTTGAAGCAAAGCTTAAGGGAAAACAGCAAGGAAAACATTTTGTCTTCAGCAAACAGAATATTCCTTCATGAAGGGAGGCTAACACTAGCAGGTAACGTCCCTAAATGTCCTCGTATCAGGGGTTAGCTCAATAATGTTTTGTTATGGCAGGTCCAGAATGAACCTCTGCAACAGTATTTGGGCAGATGCAGGAAAGAAATAGCAAATGTGCAGCTTGTCAGGGAGAGACTGAGAAGCAACCAAAACACCAAAAGAATAAGTAATCTGCACAATTGTTTATTGTCACATCTGAACATGAAGTCTGCCAGGTGCTGAAGAAACCAGCTTGACTCTGGCCAGTGTCTGCCACTCAAATGGAGCGTTTTATTGACATGTTCAAGAATGTGGCAACAGGATAACAGCAAGTTTAGACTGTCCTATACAAGGTGCTCCATATGCCTGGAAACAATATCAACATACCTCACCTCTTTGGCACCGTAACAGCTATGTGTTTCATTAAAAATTACGAAAAGTCCAGAGTTTTTTCCTATTTTCATTTCATACTTCATGTCTGTAAAGACTGCTGTTTTGATGGATATCTCGGAACAAGAAGGTGTTATCCTACCAGGTGGATGTCCTTTTATGAACAGAGTATTCATACAACATTCCATTATCTCCACAGGTAGCACGGTGGTCCCAGGCAAGCATGTTGATTTCTACAGCACTGCTTACAGTGGTCTATCACCCTAGCAGAGAAGAAAATCACATCTCCAGACACGCAGACACTGTTTTGTAGCAGGGCACAGGTTGCTTGCTGGGTACAGCTGCTGAAGCATCTCTACCTGCACAGGAGAGGAAGATTTCCTCCTTTCACGAGCAGGAAGCAGAACTTCAGCAGTTTGGAGAAGACCATCATCTGAAAGGATGCTGGAAGATGCATGCCATGGTGGCTGCAGGGCTGTAGCAATGATTTGACAGAAATGAGTACAGCCCATGTCTTACATTTCCTTCACCATCACCTCAGGAACAGGGGTGAAGAGAATAAGCACACAACACTTTCTGACTCTGACCACCATTATTACTGTTATAAAGGGAGCAACAAAAGGGACATGGTCCATTTTTCAGTGTTTTTGTTTTCCTTCCCACATGAGGAGAATTCTAGTAGCAGAGGAGAAGGCACAACAACAGGGGACATGGGGAGCAGAAGAAAAGGTTGCTGCTGATGTTTACGGTGTGGCAGGCAGAAGAGAAAGCAAGCCACTCTCCTGCCAATGCTTTCTTCTGCACTCATTGCTCTCTTGATGAGACATCAGGCCCCAGTGCAGGAGGTAAGGGTGGCCATGGGGTGGCCACATTGCTTTCTGCAATACGTAATTAGAAAATGGAGAAGGAAGTATGAGTGTAACTCTTACCCACCAAGACAGCCAGCTGTCTGCAATCTGCAATACAAAAGTGCCTAGCTCTTGGCCACTTGTCTGAATGAAGTATCTTATAAGACAAAAATAGTGAGACAAGAAATTTTCAAGCCAAACTTCTCAGAACCCATGAAAGTATTTTAGGATTCATGAAGATTGTCTGGAATAGCTCTGATCAACCTCATTTGCTGTGAAGACTAGCTGGGCATTTCATGCCCAGAGATGCCCTATTGGTACAGAGTAGCCAGAGGAGAGATTATAAAGGATAAAGCCTGCAGCAGAGAAAGGAGGTGATTCTGGAAGTGAAAAAGGACAGCAAGTCTAGAACAAAAAGGGAAATGAAAGAAAGATTCATGGAAAGGGATAGAAGGAGCCATAAACAAGGAAGAGATCAAAGGACCAAGCAAATCCAGTCAAGCGTCCAGGTTTCCTGCAGGCAGTTGCTTAGAAAATCACTCTTGCTTTTGTTAAATTGCTTCCTATTATTTATTAAAATAACATCTGAGTTTTCAACATGGTTTGGAGATCAACCTGAAAGACTATGAAGAGTTCTCACATACATTTGTTGTCATATTTCTCACATCCTCATGACCTCTAAGCTAGGAAGACAAGCTAAAACTATTTTCTGTAGTTTTTGAAAGGTTTTTGTGATGCTATCAATTAACATTTCATTTCATCACTGCAAAAGCCTGTGAAGAAGGCAGCGTACCAGTATTTAAAGGTACCAGAAAAAGGTGGCACTTCCCTGTTTCTTTATCTCTTCATTTTTCAGAAGGTTCACTGTTTACTGGGTAGGATTTGTTAATTTATAGCATGCTGATTGTTGTATTTGTAGGTATTTCAGGTGATCCAGGTGACTTTTCCTGTCAGGCAAGTAGTTCTTTTTTCATAATGAGATAGCTGCTACAAGGTACAAGCATTAGTAGCCAAAATCAACAGAGATGTGATTTTTTTAAGCACTGCATTTGAGAGTGCAGACTAGGGAATGAGTAGTTGTGTACTATGTTGGAAACCGTGCTTCTTGTTAAAAGCATTTTATAAGATGCAGTGATTCATAGAAGTGCCTCATCTTAGAAGCAGCAATTCCTTAAAATAACCACACGATCAAATTGTTCTTTTTGTTTTCCTCCTCAGAAAGTGCAAGACTCCTTGATGTCTATCTCTTCCTATTCAATGACTTCCTCTTAATTAACAAAATTAAACGTAACAGGTAATAATGGATAGATATACATGGTGGTCATGTTTTTCATCTTCATAAATATTTTGAATGTCCTTTGGAAGATTAAACAATAAAAATACAAGATGATTAATCAGCATGAAGGACAGGTGATACTTCCTTATGTTAATAGCAAACCATAACTTACTCAAAATCCTGTTTCTAGTCTCAATATGTTACAGGAATACTATGACAGGCAGAATTTACATTATAAGACCTTAATATTCTCCTGGTATTTTTCTGATGTGCTAGATTCCTAAAGCTCAGAAAGGTTTCAAGAATGTAAGAAGTTATCTAATGCTCCCCTTATGACTCAGTCCAGCAACTTGAAAAGTTTAAATTTTTGTCCCAGAGATATTGGAACTGTTGGAAAGTAAAAAAAAAAAAACAAACAAAACCAAACCAAACAAACAAACAAGGGGGGGGGGG